GTAGTGATGCTGGTGATTTAGACATGCAGAAGAGAAGCCATAAAGTACTTCTTCTAAGTTAAAGGGTGAACATTTTCAACTTTGGGAAAGGAAAAACAAAAACTGTATGCTGAGGTTGCTGAGATTTATTACAAGCTATTGTTTTTACTCTTACTCTGCCTAATTTATAAATTCAAGTATCACTGGTATGTATATATAGGAAAAACACACATAGACCGGCCTTCATTCTATGCTCATGGCATCCACTGGGAGACTTGGAAGGTATCTCCCATGGATGAACAGGGACTACTCCAGGGGGTCACAGCCCATAGTTGGAAAACATCACCCTAAGAAACAGGAAGGTTGTGGAAGACTTCAAAAGCATGAGTCATAAATCCCTTCACCTTCTTTTTATCTGTATTTCAAGACATCGAAAAATAGAAGAAAGTCCAGCCCATTTGCTTATCCCTGTGTACATAGTTCACATGGTGCTGTTTGACAATAAATATAGGGTTTCTCGTGTGTTTGGTTACTGTAGCTGATTAGGCTTGTTTACAAGCAGGACTTTGAAACTCTCTTAGTCAGGGCCTCGGTGCCCTTCGGGAAGCAGGATTATATATCCCCCATGTCTTTTCAGTGAGAACCAGTAAACATCTTTCACATTAAGGGCCCCATCACACATCACCACCCAGAAGTAGGCAAGCATTCTGCCTCAGGGCTGCTGAAATGGGAACAGGGTGCCTCCATGCCTCTCCAATCATGAACAGGTTTGAAACACAATCACCATCATCACCGCTGCCACCAACCTCAAGCAAAGAGTGCTCACTATGCGGCTCTGTGTGCTTTCGTGTTCAGCAAAAATCCTAACGACCAAGGTTATCTGGTCTATTCTTCCCTTCCAAAGAGAGCTCATTAAACCTTTCTGGCTCACAAATGCACTGTTTTCATGGTGCCACAGCGAGCATCAGTGTTCCTGGGCCCTTCCTTGTGGCTTTGCATGAGTTCTAGATGTTTCTATCATCACATTTTCTATTACAGTATTTCACACTTAGAATGTCCATGCAAATACCACCAATCCTTTGTCCTGTCATTGGGCTGAGATTAAATTCAATAAATTCATGCAACTGCTTGCCTCTTAAATACTATTTAAAAAGTTAAATGGAATTTATTGACTGATACTTCAACATGTAAAGAAGAGTATTTGTATGAAACTTTTAGAATTTAGTCTTAAATGAGCTTTCTCTACAAGATATATATCAAGGAGTAGGTAAGGAAGGTTTAACATTTTCTCATTAAAATATTTAAATTGTGTAATTATTAAAGAAATTGTTCAGCCATTCATCTTTATGCACTGACAATCAGGGACTGTAATGATGCTGGATGTTGATTTTTCTGATATACTATCATTGGGGAGATATCTGTTTTAGACAATCCAATTCTTACATGTGTTACAGAATCTGTGGCAGGTACTTCCATGGAAAGAAGCTTTGGTACAGTTAATACACAGAACTGTGTACCAGATGCTGCTGCACAAGAGCCACATTTACTCATTTATTTATTCATCCATTTGTTCTCCCTCTCTCTCTCTCTCTCTCTCACACACACACACACACACACACACACACACAAAACTCTTCTCATTCCTACCTTGGTTACTTATTATTATAAGGGGTTCACTGAACTTTACAAGCTGGAAAGAATTGAAGATAGTTTATGCCCTCTCCGATGAGGAAAAGTAACCAAGAAAAGGTGAACTAATGCACTTCAAGTTGCCTTGTAGAAAATAGAAGAGCCAGGGCTCAACCCCACGTCTTTGTTAGCTAACGAAATCAGGAGCCAGAAGGCTTAACAACTTCTTCCCACTGCCCAGCTCTTCAGTTTCACTTCCCCTGTCCCCAGACTTCCCGTCTTCCACCAGATCCCTCTGTCTCACCACTGAAGAACTTCCCCAGGTCTCTCCACACCAAACTGTCATCCTGCCGTTAACCAATTCCCCAGTGCTGCTTCATCTCAATCCCACGACTTCTCTTATCCTACTTGGCGATTTCACTGTTTATTCCGGTTTTTCTGTTACCACCACCACACCTGTCAGAGCCACAAATCCCCTTTATTTTAAACTCCTCATAACAGTTCCAGATAAAGTTACACGCAACAGTATGAACTGAAGCAATGGCTGTGATTACCACACAGTCCTGTTCATTCCACCTAGGAGTGCAGAAGCCTTTTCTGTCTCCTGCTGTATACTATGGATAGTAGTATAATATACTGGAAAACAAAAGGGTTTTCAAGAAGGCAGTTAATTCCTCAAGACACATAACCAACCAGATGATTAAGACTACAAAGTAAACAGGGGGCAGGGCAGAGTTGTTCAACACAATCTATAGAGTGCAAATTTTTTTATTGCCAAAAACAGCAATACCCTTTCCAGCTCAAGAAGGAACATATCAATGAATGTGAACTTGCCCTTTCTTATCTTGTCATGGTACAAAAAAAGAGAATAAGGTGGTCAAAGCAGAAGACCGGGCAAAGAGGAGAGCAGCAGAAGTCAAATATGTGAAAACTAGCTACAGAGGGTGGTGTTAAACTCATGTACTCCGGAGGCCAGCTGCACAATGAGTCGGGGCCCCACACTAACAGCAAAGTGACACTGGACACACTGTGTACAGTCCCCACTCAGCCTTCATCCAGCTGGTGGTGACAGTAGTAGCACCTGCTTACCAGGGTTGCCATGAGGATTAGACAAAGTAATACAAAAACATGGCAGCATTTAGCACAAACTAAGCACTGTGTTTTTTAAAAAACAAATAAACCTTCAATTGAAAATTATTTTGAAGTGGGAAGGGTAGGGGAAAGGAAATAAGGGACAAGAAAAAATATGAGAAAAGGAAAAATGGAAACAAAGTCTTTGTAAATAGGGGAGGGTGGAGGGGGTGAAGGGTGGGCTGGGAATGGGGAAAAAATGAGAACCAAGACCTGTCATGTAAAGGTACAAGATCCCAATGATGAATGTAACTGTACCATATAACTAAAATGTACCAATAAACTCAATAAGATAAAAAAATAAGCAAAATTATTTTCGCAATTGTACTGTTTCTCTGCTGACATCCAAATCTTGCAAGCAGTGTCAGCACCTAGAGATCACATTTTCCTTCCACACTACACATACTCTGCACCCTGCAATATCAATTATCTCTCCAGAATTTATTTCATAGTCCCTTCACTTTGAGACCTGACAGAAATACACTTCTGGACCTCTCAGTAACTGTCCCCCACTGCGCCAGAAAAATGGGCTCTCTACTTTAGAGGACAGGGCCTATGAAAACATAGAAGTTCTTGCTCGTTAAAAATTCTACCTGTAACCTAGGACTGGAATTGTGCAACAACAGGCTACGTACCAGAGAAAAAACAAAACAGAAAGAAAAGTTTACCGTACCAGCTATGTCTTCGTAGGACAAGGCTTACAGTGCAAAGCAAAACTCCTCAGAGCTAACCAAACTCGCTGTCCTAAAGCATTTCCTCCTTTTCTTTCTTAATTTTATTCTAATCAGGCTCTCACCCATACTAAGTTTTATTTTCTCAAAGTCATAAAAAAGTGCCACCGTTTTGCTGAACACAGTAAGACTTTATCTTACTCTAGCTCTCAGGAGTATTAACCATGGTAATACAGTTGAGCTTCTCTAATGCAAAAATTCAAAGTCCACAATGCTTCAAAATTTTAAACTTTTTGAAGAGTTTAAAACACTTCTAGTCACAAGCACTGCAGGTCAGTGATGTTCAGCTTATTCTCCCTTTCCTCGGCTGCTGCCTTCTCTCAGCATCTGGGCCATCTAGGGCTTCCAGCTCCAGGATACTGAGGCCCATTCCTTGCCTTTCTTCTCCTAACATTCACATTCACTTTCATGGTGAGCTCATGCAATCTTGTGGTATAAAGTACCAGTTCTTCCCTCAGCCCATGACTTTCAAATATATATAGACCCACACCAAAATCCTAAATTTTTGACTCAGACATCCGACAGCCTATTCAGTAGGGTCAGCACTCCACTCAGGTGTCTCACAGGATCCTAGATCTGGAACAAACTCCTGACCTTCCCCCCACACCTCCTCCACCTCCTCCTCCTCCTCCTTCTCAGTCTGCCCCATCTCTCTTAAAGACATTTCCCTCTTTCCCCCTCCTCTCTTCACCTCCTTCATTGGCAAATCTTATCAGTTCTACTTTTAAAAATTATCCAGGATCAGAGCCGGGGATTTAGCTCAGTGGTTCCACACCTGCCTGGCAAGTACAAGGTCCTGAGTTCAATCACTGGTACAAAAAAAAATCCAGGATCTGACCATTACTTCCAACTGCCTTCTGGCCACCGTGATGTTTCTTGAGCATTGGAATAATCTTTGAAGCAGTCTTCTTGCTTCTGCTTTTGTCTTACTACAGTCTCCCATGAAAACAGCAGCCAGAGACATACCCCTAAAATTTAAGTTAGATCCTGTCATTCCCTGTTCAAACTTTCCAGGGGTTTCCCTCAGGAAATCCAAAGTCCTTGTAGTCAGACTACTGCAGCCTCTTGCCATGGGCTCTTTGACTTCATCTCCTCCTTCTCTGCCTCACTCCCTTATTGCTACCCCAGCCTCCTTGCTGTTCAGGGGTCCTGCATTTCTACTTGAGCCCCTCTCTACACATCCACACAATTCACTCCTTCATTGTCATCTCTGCCCAAAAGCTCAGGTGTCCTTCACAGTGGGTTTTTTTTTTAAATCATAAAATAAAGCTGCTTAGCACTCCTAATATCTCTTTCTTGATTTATTTTTCCAAATAAGATTCTTCTTGTTTCATAAATTTTATTTATTTCCCTCTACTAGAATACTGACTTTGTCTTCCCTATTTGAGTACAAGCTCCAGGTGGGAGGGGATTTATGTCTATTCTTTTCCTTGCTGCATCCTAACTGCCTACTAAGTGTCTTCTACACAACAGATGCTGAATAAAGATTTGCTAATGAATGGGAATAATGGCTCCCTAGGCTCCTCTTACCTAAGACAGTCATCACTGTCTTCATCAGCTTCATGGGAGCCCTCCGGCGGCTGATGGACCCACTGGTATGTGGAGACAAGACGTTGGTTTTCCTCTTGACATACATGTAGATCCGCATGTATACCACCACCATGATGAAGAAGGCCACAAGGTTGGACACAGTCCAGAAAATGAGGTAACTCCTGCTATAAATGGGGGCCAGGGAAGAACAGGTAGAGATGTTGCAGAGGCAGTTCCAGCCCAGCGTGGGGACCGCCCCCATGAAGATGGCGATGGCCCACACCAGTAGAATGAGCAGAATCACTCTCTTTTTGGTCAAGTTGCTGTGGATCCTCATCCTCATGATTGACATGTGCCTCTCCACAGCAATAACCAGCAAATTGGTCAGAGAGGCAGTCAAGCTGGTGTCCAGAAGTCCCTGGCGAAGAAACCAGCGGTTGACAGTCAAAGTTCTTGAAACTGGGCCAGTGTTAAACATCAGGAATACATAGGCAATTCCAGCAAAGAAATCTGCAGCAGCTAAATTTGCCAATAGGTAATAGAAGGGGAAATGAAACTTTCTGTTTTTGATCACTGCAGCGATGACCAGAGAATTAGAAAAAAAAATAAACAGGCAGAAAAATGTTCCAACACACAAAACAATTATGAACTTTGTTCCTGTCCACTCATCGGCAGTGTCGCTGTTGCTCCTATTATAAAAAAAGTCCATCCGTTTATCATAGTGACACTCATTCATCGTGGAGAAGAGATGCACATCCTAGAAAGATATTTTAAAAAGAAACAAACATCACTGTTTGTGAAATCAGCACGAAGACACCAACTAACACTGGCCTCTTCTTCAGGCTAACATCTACTAATCCTTCATTTTGAGGTAGAAATTCCCTTGCTCTAGTACACTAGCCCCTGACTTCCTACCACAGCAGTTAGCTTGCATGCTGTTTATTTCCCAAGGTAGGCTGCAAGGTCAGTGAGAAAGAGTCTGTATCTATTTTTTTCATCATCATACATAACTCCAGGATCTGGTTACCCTGCCTATCTCATATTAGGTAATTACTGAATGGCTGGCTGATTGGACAAATGAATAAATATATAATCACAGAGGCATCAATATGCAAATGTGCTGAGCCCTACAATATCCACTCTGCCTGTTAACAATTATAACACAGCACAAAGCATTAATGAATACTGGTTTCCTGTATATTCCTTTTGGTAGGTGGGATCAAACTCCAGCTCTTGTGCTTGTGAGGCAGACGGTGAAACCACTGAGCCAACTCCCCAGCCTTATATTTCTTACTTATGGTGTATGTTCATTACAAGGATAGGTTGGTAGGCCCATTTTGGCATAGAATTGCTCTTCACACAACTGAATGGCTCCTATAAGAGATCAATTTTCTATCACTTTTGATCCCACTCCTGATCCTCCTTTAAGCATCTTTAGATTTCAAGATACAATCACATTTGCTTTTAAGCACACAATACAGAGGGAGAGATACATAGGTTTTAATACTCCTTCCTCTTCTTTGTGTTCACTTCTTCCTTATAGTTTCTTAATCTGAACTATACCAATGTGCATTTGTTTACTGGATTTTCCAAGTCAATCACTTCAAATAAATTTATTTCTCTGGGGATTATCAACCAGCAGGTGCTGGAGGATGAGGTGTCTATAGGCAAGACTTAGATCTGGAGTTTGGGCAAATAGCCAACTCAATGTGAGAGGTAGTCCCTGGGACACACATGTGAATAGTGACTCCAAAGTGGAGCATAAGGCAGACAGAGAAGGCATTATTCCTTTCAGTACAAGATCTCTTGGCCCCTAAAGATGAGAGTCTCTGGCTAAGGCAGAGCTAGACAGGGACTCTGAGGACATCCATCTGCCACCCCTGGTGGCCAGATATTCCACCTCACAGTGGTATGACCACAGCCATGAAAGGTCCCATCGATGGAGAAAAATAAGGCTGAAGATTAGAATTCAAACTTCTGGCTAAAATGACCCCAAGGAAGAAAAGCTGAGTTGTCCACTGGAAATAAAGTGCTCAAACAGCAAAAGTATAGTAGAAATCTACAGCTTTTAAAGTTCCTGCAAATTCCTGGAATACACTGCCACATCTCTAATTAGGATAAACAGCCCAGACTAAAATTTTAAGTAAATTTTAAGTGTCTCAGACAGTCTACTAATAAATACTAATTTATATTTTAATAGGACAATGATGCTTTTAAACAAATTATGTATTTGCTTCTCTGTCATACAAATGGGAAGTAAAATACTATTTTATACACTTAAACTAGTAGTCTCAGGAGACAGTACTTTTCAATTACAAGGAAAGACTCAATTTTAATAAACAACAGAACAAAAATTATCCTCTTTGGCAGGTACTCATCAATGTTTAACTATAAATATCCAATAACTTCATATAACAATACATATATATGATATACTGCAATAATTTTCCAAATTAAAAATACAGATAATATAATTTTAATAGCTTCATATTTTATTATATGAACAAATCATACTTTACATACATTGTATCTTACAATACCTAAGTATTGAATATTAAGGTTGTTTCCAGTATTTCACTTTTATAAGCAAGGCTACATTCTTGTGTATTAATCTTTATATGCTTGGCCAATTATTTCTGTAGGAATAGTCCCTTGACTTCAAATTGAGTAAAGGATGAAAATTTATTTAAAGAATTCTATATAATTTGTTAAACTGTGCCTCAGATATTGTATTTCCTTTTTTATTGAGTTTATTGGGTACTCTTTAGTATATAGTACAGTTACATTCATCATTGGGATCTTGCACCTTTACATGACAGGTCTCGGTTCTCATTTTGCCCCCACACCCCTGCCCTCCCTCCATCCCCTCCACCCTCCCCTATTTACAAAGACTTTGTTTCCATGTTTTTCCTTTTCTCATATTTTTTCTTGTCCCTTATTTCTTTTACCCTGCCCTTCCCAATTCCCATATAGCTTTAGCCATTTTCTTCCTTTTTCACATTATCAGTTATACAATTTGCATCCTGTTTACACTTTTAGTTTTTCACACCAGAGAAGCTATTCTGTATTTACACATGTCTTATTTATTTCACTTAAGATTATGTCCTCAATATGCATCCATTTTCCTATGAATGACTCTAGTTTATCATTCTTTATGGCTGAGTAGTATTCCACTTTATTAAAAAATCACATCTTCTTTATCCAGTTTCCAATTAATGGGCAATTAGATTGTTTCCAAGTTTTAGCTATTACAAACTGTGCCGCTATAAACATGGGTGAGCATATATCACTGTGCTATGATTCTTTTAATTCTTTTGGAAAGATACCCAGCAGAGGAATAGCTGGGTCAAATGGGACTTCTAATCCTAGTTCTTTGAGGTATCTCCATATTGATTTCCACAGTGGTTTCACCAGTCTACACTCCCACCAACAATGGAGAAACGTTCCTTTCTCCCCACAGCCCTGCCAGCATGTGTTATTGTTTGATTTCTTGATAGCAGCCATTCTTTGTGGGATGAGGTGGAATCTCAGTGTTGCTTTCATCTGCATCTCTAAAATGACCAGTGGTGTGGCACATTTTTTCATATGCTGATTTCCTGCTTTTACTTGTTTGTCTGAGAAATGTCTATTCATTTCAAATACCCATTTTTTAATTGGAGACATTGTATTTCTAATCCCAACAGTAGCAAGTGAGAATTACAGGATAATAATCTAGTGAAATTCAATTTAAATGCCCAAGAAGAAAATTCAGTTTTCAACCATGTTGAAGTACACAAAAATTTAAAACATTTTTAAAAAGATCCAAGGGCTACATCTATGATCTGAATGTTTGTGTCCCTTCCAAATTCTTGCTGAAACCTAATCTGCATGGTGGATGTATTAATAGGTAGGGGCTTTGGAAGATGGTTAGGCCCTAACCATCTGGTCTGCCCTCCTGACTGGTTTAATGACCTTGTTAAAAGAGGCCTAAGGAAGATTTTCACCTCTTTTTGTCATTCTACCATGAAAGGATACAGCAACAGGTGCCATCTTCGAAGGAGAGCTCAGACCATTACCAGATACCGTATTTGCTGGGACCTACATCTTGGATTTTCCAGCCTCCAGAACTGTAAGCAGTGAATTTCTGTTGTTTACGAGTTACTTAGTTTAAGATATGTTTATGACATCAGGAATAGACTAAGACATCACATGAGAAATTTTAATAATACAATTATTATGCATCCTCTAATTAAAAATAATTTATGTATTTTATTATTTTATGCCCTAGATAGCTGAGATACATATTTATAATTTTTAAATATTATCCTTCACTAATTTTTTGATACTGTCCAAAAGTACTGAAATTCATATATTACAAATATATGTTAAAGTTTTCCTAATTTTTTAAAAAGGGAATTGTATACTTTAGTTTTGGTTTTTATACTTGGTTGAATTTATAATTGTATGATGTAGTAAAACTTTAATGGTTTTTACATCAAAAATCTAACTTCCCTTCATCAAAATCAGCAGCCCTTTGGCCCAGCACAGCAGAGGAGACTGGCAGCAGCTTGTGACCCTCTGGTGGTCCCGCCTCTTCAGCACAGAGCAACAGAGGAGCATGCAAGCAGCACAATACCTTCTAGTAGGCCCACCCTTTCTCCCCAGCACAGCAGAGGAGCTCAGCCTCACAGGCGCCAACACAGCTGTGTCGGTGCCCCCTCAACCCCATGAACAAGATAGATGAAAATTAAAGCCCTCTGGAAAATCTCTGCCATAAAGGCACACCACAATACCATAGTTGGTAAATTGGAGGGACCAGCACCTCACATCAGAACATTGTCTAACCGCAGGGGAAAGGCAGCTGGAACCTGCAGTAGAATCTTGCAGAGTTCAAACCATCAGGAGGTCAGAGATCTCACCTTGGGCCTTGCAGCCAGAAATCAGCCTGAACCTCAGGCAACAGCTGCTGGCTTGCTGAGACTAATTAACTTAGATCTGCCCACATGGTCTATTGTGTCAACAGAGGCATACCCTAAAGGAGGCCCTCTATTTCTATTTGTATTTTTTATTTTCAAAGTGATATTTTTGTCTTATCTTTAAACATTAAAAAATTTTTATCTATCTTTCTATTTTCTCAAATATTTTCCCTTTTTTATTTTCTTTTTCTTATCTTCTTTTCTTTCTCTTGCCCATCTTGATCTTCATTTCTCTCCCTTTTTGTTCATGTTCCTATCCTAATTTCAATTTGTTTTCTTTTTCTTTTCTTCTCTTTTTCTTCTCTCAATTGCCATTAGTTTTAAAAGAAAGTGATTAGTCTCCAGCCTCCCTATTACTGTTAGATTGTTCTGTCCTTGTGTATATTTTATTCTGCCTTCTCCTCTTCAATACCTTCCTAGAGTTTGTGTGATCTTCCTACGTGCTCTGACCTTACTTCTAACCTTTCTCTATCCTATCTATCCCTCCCTCCCCATCTCCTTCTAAGCCCCCAACCTGAATGGTAAAGTTGCTATAATGAAGAGTTTATTCACTATAAACATATTTTGGGCTGGTCCTCGATTTTGACTGAATTCACACAATTAAAGGTGATAGATTAATAACTACCAAAAATTGTCATTTTCTAAGCTGTGCTTGATGCGATTGTGTTGCTGATTGTATCACTTCAGCTAAGATGTTGTGATTGAGTTACGCAGTCGTCTTTCCTGGTATAATGAAAAAGAGATTGCCTCAGAGTCATTAGAGACTCAAAACCTAAAGACCAGCTATATCTAGAAGATCAAA